TCGTGTGCATAGTCTGAAAGGGTTGTCCCTATTCTCTTAATGAGTAATGGGTGTGTTTTGGATAACGTGCAATAAACCAATAGGAGTGTCATGTCCCATTCCTGAGACTGAACGCGTCTCCAGAGAGCAAACGGATCTGCTCGTGCGCAAGGTTAAAGCGCACAAGCAGACCATCTACGGGACAAGCTAAATTCCCAGCCCGTTCTCATCCTTTAACGTCATATAGAACGCTATATGCAAAAACGGCGCTATACTACGCATATGGCACCCTTTATCGTTAATATAACACGCGAACCCAAGACGTTATAAATCCTTTAGCGTGAATGTGACACGCACACCCTACCCCACACCTAAACTTAGCCCTCACAGCGAGTGTTATATTAACGATAACGTGTGCCATGCGCGTAGTATAGCGCCGTTTTGTCATATAGCGTTCTATATGACGTTAAAGGATGAGAACGCGTTGAAATTCCACCATATCTTTATGTAAAAATATTATTCATTTACATTGTAATCCTTTTATTTTTAGTTTGTGTGCTGCTGTGTGTCCCTGTGTGTGTAATGAGTATAGTGTAAGTGTGTTGTGCACCCGCCTATAGGCGCATATTACTAATGCACCCTTTAAATAAAAATAAAAATACTGCACCATTGACTTTAGACTAGGGATTTGTTGGCCATGGGCACGCAAATGCATTTGCTATTTAAACAACATGGCGCAGGATGTGAAAAATGATAGGGCCCTTAAAGTTCTTGAAACTGGTACACTTTCATCATTGTTTAATATTTAAATATGTATATATATATAATCTCCTGAGGTAGGAAAATATGATTAAATATGAAAATGTATGCCTGATGTACAGTATAAAAGTCAGTTGGTATTATAACAACTGCTTATCGCTCCACAAGAAGTGCGTTAAGAGGAGATTGTATTGTGCCTTTCAGACGGAGGAATCTTAGCCAGTCTGATTTTTCTGTTAAAGCTGTACGAGAAGGGAACACTATTCCAGCAACTATAAGAGAACTAGATGCATATGAATCAGGTAAAGAAATGGTTAATTTAGGACTCAGCTCTGTCAACATACTCTATACCTGCTGGCTGTCCTGCTATTTGTTTTTATTTTCATTGATTCGTTTTTATCGATAGATGGTTTTATGGATTGTATTATGTATTTGATTAAATTCTCAGCATGTATTTTAACCATATATTTATTTCTAGGGTGGCTTGTAACATTCTATCTATCTAGATCTATCTATCTGGTTTGTATCTATCACCTCCCTGACATTGACGCTTCTTTTGTTTTTAGGCTATAATTTGACCACACAAAATGAAGCGAAAAAAAAAAAAAAACTTTAGAGAAGAGAAAGAAAGAAGACAAAGATGAGAAATGATACCTAACGTCGTGCTGAGTGAGAGAAGATGGTTGCTCACCCCCGATTTTCCGGAAACCCATTTCCAATCTACTAATCCTGCTCTGGCACAGTATGAGTCATCTAACACACGGAGCAGCGCAGCTCTGTCTGCATTCTCTACAGGGCAAGAAGGGCAGGAGACTGCATTTAATTCTGAGTTTCTTCTTGGAAAAAATTGCTGATGTGCTGTGTATTTCCACCTTTTTACTTCTGGCTTAACCTTCTCAGGGTTATGATTCATACAATTGCAGGTCTGTTTTGTGCACTCGGAAAATATTTGATAAAGTGTGTGCAATAATGTCTCTAGTGCAAATAATCACACTTGCAGACAATTATGAAAGTGTGAAAAGTAATTATACCCTAATTTGAGAGCATTTGCTCTCATCGTCCGATGTTCTGCTTTAGATCTTGTCCTCTCTAATGTTGTCGACAGGACCATTCATAAGCAGCACTTCTCTAAGCCTGGGGAACAGTTAATTGATTACCCATGCCACCTACCCCCTTTGAACCCTCTCTGTAAAGATAAGTGTCGTCCCTGAAATCGAACCCTCTGCCTGCCACGCTTCCGTCTGATTAGCTGCCGGAACAATTATCTTAATCGTGTCATCTTAACGAACCCCCACGATAAGCCGCCTTGGGGCCAGTAATCCACAAGACCTTCGCCTACATGGAATACTGTCCCTTATCGCCCTTCATAATAAAGATGAATTAAGTCGAGGAAAATACAACATAAAGTTCCCATTGCGGGTGTTTACACTTGTTTGTTATTGACAGTTGATGGTTTATCTAATTCATAATCAAGCTATTAAGTTAAATCATCATCATGACCGAGCAACATTTAATGTGTGGAAAAACAATGTTAGGAAAAACAAACTCCGAGAATGGCTAGCTTGCAGTATGCGAAAACAAAATACATTTTTACATTGTCCTAATTAGATGTTTGAATGTGTCGAAATTTAGCCACCATGACGCTAGAGATTTGTGATTGGTTGCCATGTGGTTGCCAAGCTGTTCTCAATGGTTGTTAGGACATTGATATGCGGTTACTAGACTAGAGTGTTGTTGATCGTTGCTATGGTGACCCAAGTCAAAATAGCCTATTCTGGTGCTCTGTAATAGTCTTCCCCCTAAAAACATAGGCATTAGTTCATGTCATGTCATTAAATGCAAAATGATTGAGCTAGTCATAATGCGTCACATATATTAACTTTTCTATTAGACTTTTGTACACGTGTCCTGATTTGCTCAAGTGAATTGTGCAGATGAATCTTGAATTTCACTAATGAAGAAGAATGTAAAGCATTAGATCAACCAACGATCAATCAGTTCTCTAAAATAGAGATGCATGTCACGAATCTTCAATTTAGAAAGAATAAAGACAGAGCTTAATACAGTTGCAATTCATTATAATGGAAGAACAAGGAAACAAACAGGGTCAACAGCCGGGAAGAAGAAGTGGAGTAAGGATGTGCTAGAAAGGTTGGGAGGCTAAACCGAGGAAGAGGTAGATAAGGCAAATGACGTAGACACGTTTCTGATGTTATAAGGATCACTATTGTGGACTATGTCCTCAATTAAGGCCTTACAATGGCTGAGATGGGTTGAAAGATGCAGTTGAATGCCTGAAAATCATTCATGTCCTCAATCATTGTAGAACATCGTAGCAATGGTCCACAATAGTGGGCCTGATTTAATCAGAAGCGTGTCTACAATCTTGACCTCTTCTACATTGTCTCCGTACCCACATCCTTATTCTTCTTCTTCCCAGCTGTTGACCCTGTTTGTTTTCTTGTTGTTCTTCCATTGTCAGAATTTGTAACACTGTTGTGCTCTGTCTATAATGAAGCTTCATCATGAGATGCACCTCTGAGCTCTTTAGGGAACTGGTTGATTATTGGTTGATCTAGCCCTTTACATTTCCTTCCTATCACTAGTGAAATTCAAAATTCATCTCTGCAATTCATCAATTCAGGACACATTTACAAAAAAAGTCTAATAAAAATGTATAGAAAATATGCTTGACAGGTTATAGTTCAACTATTTTGCATTGAATGCGATGAACATATTTTGATCAACATGTCATAAGCAATTGATAATGTAGGAAACAGCAGACACGTGTTCATAATACATTGCATGGTTGTAGCATTTGCAATTTTTTCAACAAACAGAAATTGCTTTTATTAGGTGCACAAGTGACTAGAGGTTGAATAAGTCATTTTAAATAGGCCTATTTCAGGTGGGATCTGAGAAATGCACCAAAGCATTAAATTATATGTATGCAGAATGCAGTATATACAGTCTTGTCTTATAACAATGACATACTGTAATTTGTTGCAGGTCAAGTGTCACTGTGAATCCTACCCAGCCTCTTGCAATCAATATCCCACATTCTATCATGTGTCAATTTGTACTGTTAAAATTGATGTATGCCATATAGATAAAAGTGCAGTCTCAGTCATTTTCATCAAAATCATATCCATAGTTTTCATCTGAAAATACACTGTTATAATGACAATGTGGCTAAACATTTTGACTAGTTTGTGAAAAATGACACAAGGACTTGTCATTCTGATTGCACTGACATAATTTTGAGAGATGAACTAATGATTTTGAGAAAGTTGCAGTCTTTTGCAGGTAGTCCATTGTGTGGTGCTTTTTTTGTTTGAAGCAATAAGTTACACTTACTGGTTTGCAAATGTTAAAGGAGTAGTTCACTTTTAAAAAAACTTAGGCTGATAATTTACTCACCCCCATGTCATCCAAGATGTCCATGTCATTCTTTCTTCAGTCGAAAAGAAATTAAGGTTTTTGATGAAAACATTTCAGGATTTTTCTCCATATAATGCACTTTGTAACCAAAGGTCCAAAAGACAGTTTCAGAGCAAACTGTTCAAAGGGCTTTAAATGACTTTAGACAATGAATAAGGGTCTTATCAAGCGAAACGATCTGTCATTTAAAAAAACAACAACAAAGTTTTAGTTTTATAAGCTCAAATGGTCGCCTTGCTCTGTTCTGTGATGCGCGTTCGTGACTCTCCTGTTCGAACTCGTTCATCAAATCAAAATGAACGAATCTTTTCCTGAGTCAATTCGTTCATTTCGTTCATTGAATGAACCAAATAACAAGAAAAAAGATTTGTTCATTTTGATTCACGAATTCGAACAGGAGATTCATGAACGCGCATCACAGAACAGAGCAAGGCGACCATTTGAGCTTATAAAACAAACTTTGTTATTTATTTATTTTTTAAATGAGCGATCGTTTTGCTTGATAAGATGCTTATTCATTGTCTGGAATCGTTTAAAGCCCTTTGAACAGTTTGCAGTTTGTACTGAAACTGTCATTTGGACCTTGAACCGTTTGGTTCCCATTGAAGTCCATTATATGGAGAAAAATATACATTATGGAATGTTTACATCAAAAACCTTAATTTCTTTTCGACTGAAGAAAGAATGACATGGATATCTTGGATGAAATGGGGGTGAGTAATTTATCAGCAAATGTTTTTTTTTAAGTGAACTACTCCTTTAAGAATGACTCAAGACAAAGCGACTGAGAAAAAAAAAACATAATTGTGTAGACACTAAGATTTCCTCACACATTTTATTGTCCATGAATCTTTTATGTTTTTTAGCACACATTTGACCTTACGAGGTTTCCCTAACCTTATTCAATAAACAAATATTTACCCATAGTGTCCCATATGCATATTTACTCATGCAATGGAAAGGAGCTCATTAATATTGGTCTGGATGTAAAATATTTACCCATAGTGTCGAATATGCATAATATTTACCCATATGCAATATAAAGGAGTTTATTAATATTGGTCTGAAGTGGATGTGGTTTGCTGATCTAATCTAATATCTTCAGGTCTTATGGGAGACGAAAATACAGCAGTGGGGTGTAGGCTGCCCGCGTGGTGGGATTCAAAGCAGATGCCCTTTCCCCTGGAAGGCCCCTCCTCTTGTCACACAGATCACAGGAGATCCCTCTCAGGCCCCGTCAGACCCCTCACGCTCTAACATTTACACTAAATTACCAAGCTTCAAAGTGCACTGTATGTACCCAGACTGCAGTGATTTAGTCATAGATCCTGAAAAAAAACACACACAAAAAAAAAAAACACAAGGATTCAATTTCGCTGTGGAATTTTGCTTACATTTGATTAATGCATGTGATTTGTTTAGTAAGCTGATCTAAATCTAATTTAGACTTTAATAGGGTCTTTGCCAATAATTGCACAATTGCAGCAACTCTAAATAAATGATACAATCAGTGAACGTCAAATTGTTTTAGCATTTCAGCTGTATTAATTGTGTTGGGGTTTCTCCATATTGTGACTTGCCTATGTTCTTGAGCAGACATGTTTTCACTGCAACATTGATGAATGAATATGTGCGCACAACCTTTTTCTTTTACTTCAAGGACAGTCAAATGAAACTTTCTCAACCTTTATAGGGTGGACCATGACATTTCAGTTACAGACGTATTCATGTAAGTGCAGTTAATGTGATTGTACAAGAACTGTGACTCAGCTTCTAGAAAACTTGATGACAAATAGACCAAGCTGTTTTAGAACTTTTTGACAATATCATTATTTTGCTCACTTTTCAAAACAAATGCAAAATACTTTTAAAATAAGTGAATAGTAATTTAATAATAGTGATTTAAAATGTATGGATAATGTACAACATTAAAACGATATAGTTCACCCAAACATTTTATTCTGTCATCATTTACTCACCCTCAAGTTATTCCAAACCTGTATAAATGTGTTTGTTTTGCTGAACACAAAAGAAGATATTTTGAATAATGTTTGTGACCAAACAGTTGTGGGGCACCGTTGACTTCCATATTATTTTTTCCCCGATAAGTCAATGGTGCCCCACAACTGTTTGGTCACAAACATTATTTAAAATATCTTCTTTTGTGTTCAGCAAAACAAACACATTTATAGCCTACAGGTTTGAAACAACTTGAGGGTGAGTAAATGACCACAGAATTTAAATTTAGATAGTTCACAAAAATATCTTTTATCTTTGGGTGTTTTTATTTGAGAACGTCTCGGTTACGTATGTAACCCTCGTTCCCTGAGTAAGGGAACGGAGACGTTACGTCAGAAGTGACGGAGATTGGGGGTTTCGCATAGAAAGCCAATCCTCTTCGAGTATTAAAACACGAGCCAATGGCATGCAATGCCTTGGGGCTGCGGAAATTTGCATAGCGTACTCCGCCCTACTCCGTGAGTATAAAAGGAGGAAGTGAACGCAACCGCAGTATGTCTTCGCTGAGGAGCCAAGACTGAACTCGGCCTCTACCCAGCGATACAGCAGAAGTGGCAGGGAGACGTAACGTCTCCGTTCCCTTACTCAGGGAACGAGGGTTACATACGTAACCGAGACGTTCCCTATCGTAGTCACTTCGAGTTACGTCAGAAGTGACGGAGATTGGGGGTCTGTGCCATCACGCCATCTTCAAGCTGTCTTCCAGTGCCCTGCGAAAGACTGAACCCCCGAGCCTTACCTCTCTTTTTCTTTTTTTTCTTTGGGGATCCGACTTTGACACAGGATTACCAAGGTACACTGGGAAACATATCCCGAAGGGGACATGCTACCAGCTGCCTACCGAAGGGAGGACTTAAGAATACACATATGGCCACATAGGAACGCATATGGAACACTGGAGTACCAACCGCAGGTGGCTACTGATTTAAACTCCAGGGGTGGCAGATGGCTTGCCAAGGGAAGACACATGCTCAGAGAGGCTAACAGTGGATAATACACATGAGACGGTTACCATGGGGAACCGTGCGCATGGAGGCACCTAGCTAGCATCCAGAGCAACGCAGTGGTGCCGCATCGTCGGTGCTGGAGGACTCAAGACTTCAATGGAAGAACTGAGGAAATATCGCACTTATCCAGTCCGGGGAGTGGAGTGGCGAGCAAGCGAAGACACCTGAGCGGATCCAGAACTGGCCGAAACGAGTACGTGAGAGGATACCGGCTCAATTCGCAGATTACAGAATCTGGCGAAGGTGTTGGGTGTCGCCCAGCCTGCAGCTCTGCAGATGTCTGTTAGCGAGGCGCCGTGCGCTAAAGCCCAAGAGGAGGCTACACTCCGAGTGGAATGGGCCGTCACACCAAGGGGGCACGGAAGGCCTTGCTGCTGGTAAGACAAAGCAATGGCATCCACTATCCAGTGGGACAGCCGTTGCTTTGAGAGAGCCCTTCCCTTCTGGCTCCCCCCATGACAGACAAAGAGCTGGTCTGAGGTCCTGAAACACTGCGTTCTGTCGACATAGGTGCGGAGAGCACGTACCGGACAGAGCAGTGCCAAGGCTGGGTCTGCCTCCTCCAGGGGCAGCGCTTGCAGGTTCACCACCAGGTCCCGGAGGGGAGTGGTAGGAACCTTGGGCATATATCCAGGCCGGGGTCTCAGGAATACGTGAGAGTAAGCCGGCCCGAACTCCAGGCACACTTCGTCAACAGAGAGTGCGTGCAGGTCCCTTACTCTCCTGATGGATACCAATGCAATCAGGAGTGCTGTCACATAGGACAGGGCAAAAACTCTACCGACTGCAAAGGCTCCAGGGGAGGCCTCTGCAGAGCACCCAGGTCTACTGAGAGGTCCCCAGAGGGCAGGAGGGGAGGGAGGCGGATTTAGCCCCCCCACTCCCCTCAGGAACCTGATGACCAGGTCATGCTTCCCATAGACTTACCTTTCACTGCATCATGAGACGCGGCAATGGCCGCGACATAAATCCAAAGGGTGGAGGGCGACAGCCTGCGCTCCAACCCCTCTTGCAGGAAGGAAGCATGACTCCGATCGAACATCTCCGGGGTCTTCTCAGCGAGAAGAACACCAATTGACGAAGAGGTATCACCTCAACGCATAAAGGTGTCACGTGGACGACGCTCTTGCGGAAGTGATGGTTGCCGCCACCGCAGGTGGCAGCGAACTCAAACCTGCCTCGTCCCGTCCTGGAGCCACACGTGCAGCCTCCAAGATCGGGACGAGGGTGCCACAGAGTGCCCCGTCTCTGAGAGAGTAGGTCCGGTCTCAGAGGAATAGGCCAAGGAGGTGCTGTCGCGAGGAGCAAGAGTTCGGAGAACCACGTCTTGGTGGGCCAGTAGGGGGCTACCAGCAAGACCTGCTCCTCGTCCTCCTTGATCTTGCACAACACCCGTGCAAGGAGGCTCACTGGGGGAACGCACACTTGCGTGGGCCCCGTGGCCAGCTGTGCGCCAGCGCATCCGAGCCGAGAGAGCCGCGGGTCAGAGAATAAACTGGGCGCAGTGGGACGAGTCCCGAGAGGCGAACAGGTCTAACTGTGCCTCCCCGAACTAGTCCCAATCAGCTGGACCGACTGGGGATGGAGTCGCCATTCGCCGGAGATGGGACGGGCCCGGGACAGCTCGCGGCTGCCCGGTTCCGGTCTCCAGGAATGTAACTGCACGAAGGGACCTCAGGTGCTTCTGACTCCATATCAAGAGGTGGCGGGCGAGCTGCGACAACCGGCGCGAGCGTAGACCCCCCCTGGTGGTTGATGTACGCTACTGCCGTAGTGTTGTCTGAGCGGACAAGCACATGCTGGCCCTAGAGCACGCTCGGAAGCGGTGCCGGGCGAGCCGTACTGCCAACAGCTCGAGGCAATTGATGTGCATGAGGCGCTGGGCTCCTGTCCAGGAACCGGCGGCTGCATGCCCATTGCACATGGCACCCCAACCCGTGGTAGACGCATCCGTGGAGACAACGAGATGCCTGGAAACTCGCTGAATAGGGACCCAGTCCGTAAAAAGCTGAGGTTCGACCACGGGAAGAAGGATCGGCGGCACGTCGGAGTCACTGGAACTCGGAGCGAGCCGCGATGCCATGCCCACCTCGGGACTCGATCGCGAAGCCACAGCTGAAGCGGTCTCATATGAAGCAAACCGAGCGGCGTTGCCGCGGCCGCGGATGCCATATGCCCCAGGAGCCTCTGAAATAGTTTCAGTGGAACCGCACTCTTGCCCTCGAACTGTCGAAGACAAGCCAGCAGTGAGTGCGCGCGCTCGTTCGTGAGCTGCGCGGACATGGCGACCGAGTCTATCTCCATGCCGAGAAAAGAGATCCTCTGCACGGGGCAAAGTTTGCTCTTTTCCCGGTTGACCCGAAGGCCCAGACGGGCTAGGTGCCGTAGCACCAGGTCTCTGTGTTCGCAAACCTGAGCTCGAGAGTGTGCTAGTAACAGCCAGTCGTCGAGAAGTTCAGGATGCGAACCCCGTGTTCGCGAAGGGGAACAAGGGCTGCCTCGACGATCTTCGTGAAGACGCGAGGGGACAGAGCTAACCCGAATGGGAGAACGGCGTACTGGTATGCCTGGCCCTCGAAGGCAAACCGAAGAAACGGTCTGTGTCGAGGGAGAATGGAGACATGGAAGTACGCGTCCTTCAGGTCGATCGCTGCAAACCAATCCTGATACCGAACACATTCGAAAATGCGTTTGGCCGTGAGCATTTTGAACGGTAGTCGATGGAGAGAACGGTTCAAAATGCGCAGGTCCAGGATCGGTCGTAACCCACCGGTCTTTCTTGGGGACAATGAAGTAGGGGCTGTAAAGCCCGGACCTCACCTCGGCTGGAGGGACCGTCTCGATTGCACCCTTCGCCAGCAGGGTCGCAATCTCCGCTCTCAAGACTGGGGCATCGCCACCAACCATCGTGGAGCGAACTCCCCTGAAGCGGGGAAGAGACCGTGCGAACTGAATCGCGTAGCCGAATCCGATCGTTCTGATGACCCAGCGGGAACCCCGGGAAGCGCTAGCCAGGCTTCCAGGAAGTGAGCCAACGGGGTCATGCGAACCACAGACGTCCCCCGGAGGGGCAGCGAGGCGGGTCGACCGGCATGCGTGCAGGAGTTACCCCGTCCGGATGCACCGTCGAAACCCGCTCCCCGACAGAAGAGACCAGGGAAGGCAGAGCGTTCCACGGGGGTCTGTTCCGCCGGGGGTCTGGCGACAGAGGGGGAAGGGATTGGCGTAGCCCGGGGACGACACACGCACCCTTCCGCGCCCTCCGAGACAGAGAGGAATGAACGGGGCGACGCACTGGACGTCGTGCGCGCTCATTCCAGTCTGTGTGCTCAATGACAGTGTCAGCTTTTCTCAACCAGCTCAGGGAGCTAGCTAGAACAAAAGATTCTCCACCGGCCCTCCACCGGGGAAGGAGGGGCCCTGCCACCGCCTCCTGAGAAAAACCATGACACTACCACTGAGCGGCCCGCCTCAGGAACATCGCTTCGCCTGGCGTTTAGCGGGGCACACGGCCTGAGGGGGGGGGGGGGACGCTTACCTGTGGCCTCCTCCGCGACGCGAACCGGCTGAAGGCTGCTGCTGGGGCCGCGTGGGAGGGAAGGGAGCCGCAGGGGGGCGTCCTCGGCGGCGAGCTGGCGGAGGCGTCCGAGCCGACGGCTGGTTGGAGGCAGCAGCTGGCCGTCGGGGCAGAGAAACCGCCTTCGTCTGCTCCTAGGCGGTCGAGAAGTGCTGGGCAAAGTCCTGGACCGCACCGCCGAACATTATGATGCTCCTGGACCACAGCGGTGGGCATCACCTGACCAAGGGAGCGAGCGACCGCCTCCGTGACCCGTTTAAGGACAAGGTAGGCGATAGGCTCGCAGCTCGCTTGGTCCGTCACCTCCTCGTGCACATTCCTGAGCAGCTAGCTTTGTAGGTGCTCATCATATGCAGGGCGGAGGCTGCCTGTCCCGCCGCTCTACAGAATCGCGCCGCCATAGACGACGAGAACCCATAGGCTTTGGAGGGGCATCTGAGAGCAACCGCCGGTTGACCGGGGGAGCCCCAGCGTACCCACAGACAGCCGCATCGCCGAGGGGAGGAAGGGCGGGGAACTAAGCACGCTTTTTTTTTTTTTTTTTTAGTGCGTGTCAGTTCCGCATGCAACTCGGGGAAAAAAGGAAATTGGGGTTGGCCGTGGCCGTAAGGCGGCAGCGTTACCCAAAAACCAATTATTCAGCCGCGAGAGATCGGGGAGGGGCGGAGTTCCACCCCCACCCGATGCTCACGGACGCCCGAGATAGCACGGCCATCATCGCGGGATCAGACACGGCGGCGCTGACGCTCCCGAGGGAGGCAACGCGGCCGCATCCTCACTTCCCGAGGAGTCAAGCCCGCCTAGTGATGCTGTGATCGACATCGCATCATCATCTGGAGCGCTGCCCGAAGCAGCCGGTGCCACCGAAGAAGCAACCGACTGAATCGAACTAACGCTCGCTGGCTCTCGCACTGAGGCGGGAGGTGTGGCCCGAGGAATCGTCGGGGCTTTATCTCACACCATCACCGTAAATCACCAGGTCCCCGGGTCGACGGGCCCCCTATGGAGGAAACCGATCGAGCGGGGGGGACCGGGACTCTCACTCAAGTGAGATCATTGAGTCTCGACCTCAGTGTAGAGATGGTCATGTTCCCACAAAGGAAAATGAGTCATCCACGAACGCTGCTGCTGCATGCTGAAATGCCCAGGCATACAAAGCAGCGATCGTGACCATCAGATGACGACAGAAATCAATCACACCCAGAAGAGCACGGGCGAACCGTCTTTAAAAAGACGTGCGCGTGCAGCTCTTTCAATGAGAGGAGGAAATTCACTCTTTCAGCGCTGAAGCGACCAGGGAGAAGCGCAAAGTCTGGCAGACCACTGCTCAGATCGCAGGCGATGCAGAATCTCGCTGGGTACCGCCGTCACACCAACACTGAAGAGGACGCTCGTCTCGAAGAGTCTTGAACAGTGCTTTCAGGAGTGAAGAGGTTCTCTTGGCTCCGAAGCGAAAACATACTGCGGTTGCGTTCACTTCCTCCTTTTATACTCACGGAGTAGGGCGGAGTACGCTATGCAAATTTCCGCAGCCCCAAGGCATTGCATGCCATTGGCTCGTGTTTTAATACTCGAAGAGGATTGGCTTTCTATGCGAAACCCCCAATCTCCGTCACTTCTGACGTAACTCGAAGTGACTACGATAGGGAACTCAGCATCCTCTAGTGGGACTTAATAGTATTACATGCAGTCAACTGTGTGACAAATCATTATCTCAAATAAATAAAAATTTAAGTCTACATTATAGAAAAGCCTCATCTGTTGGTATCCGATATACAAATAAACAAATATTTTAATAACCAGTCATTATAAACTGTGATCGGTCCATATCAACCACCACGTGACAGCACCACCTTCGTCAGCAGTACTTTTACTGAACTGTTTTAATTACTTTAATCCTGCTCTAATTATTTTATTTTTTATTCTAAACTGTTTTAATGACTGTTATTTATTTTATTATTTTAATAAATTATATATAAAGCTTTTTGAATTACCATTGTGTATGAAATGTCTTATAAATAAACTTGCCTTTTTTGATACTGACAAATGAGTTGTAAAAATATATGTACAGCAAATAAATATATCTAAAAAGATATATAAATATTTAAAATATTCTATGTGCTCTACAAAAAATATGGGGCTCTGTATGCGGTGCGTGGTTCAATGTGCTTATGGCCAGGAGGTGTCGCACAACATGAACAAATAAGAACTACACCTAATATTATGATTAGAAACCGTTAAATGGGTTTCAAACCACTTATTTGTATTACCAGAACAGTATACGTACAACATATGTTGGCAGTGTTTACCCTCCTCAAAATAAGTAATATCGAAGAACCTCTATTCCCAAAGATATTCTGCTGTTCTGAGTTTATGTGAGCATTCGGAATATCCAACTTTATATTTTATTTTTGTCAGCTACGGAGGTACGGACAACTACGGAGAAGATGGGGTTAAATGGGAGAAAATACCGAAATATATCTGACCTCATCTCAATGGCACGAACTTCCAAACATAATCAGCTCTTCCTCATCGGAGGTTGAAAGGCTGTTCCAGGAGATCATCTGATCGCAGCCTCAACAAAAATCTACATTTAATTAAAAAGGCTTATTATAATAATCACAACAATAAGTATTACATGACTGATGTTTTTTTTATTCATTTTATAATACTAATTATAATTATAGGTGGATGTATCCATATATTTTATATATTTATATTTTATTAGTATATATATTTTATTTAGTTATTATTTCAGGGACTTTTACTTTGAAAGACGAACTTCCGCTGGGCGTCATAGATCACCGTTAACATCACTGGCTTCATGCTACTCTCAGCCATGAAATAAAGCGGCTCCTTATTACGACCGTGACATCCACGCTGGAGTCCTTAAATCTGTTCAGCCTTCTTTTTCTTGGGTTTCCTAATTCTATAAAATACGCGTGTCTTGTCTCCGTGATATTGGATATTAACCCTGAAGATTTAACTTACCGAGCTGGATGGGAATGTAAAGCAGCACCATTGTTTTAATGAAGTTGGATCCAGCTTGAAAAGAAACCAAAATTCAACAAAACCGCAACAGATTCTTTGGGATCTCCTACCATTTAATCAACAATTTGCGATCAGATTTTGGAAATAACTGCCAGATTTTTACGTTTTTCCACTGTCGTTGACATTTACATTCAGTCTTTTTCTGTCTGATAACGTTACTGGTTTGTTTGCCATTATGTAACGTTAACGTTAACTTAAAAGTTCTGCATTGACAAATCTGCATTTGGCTGCCTAACATTAGTCTAATAGTCATGTGTATTGCAAATATTATCTTATTTGATTAATATTATTGGATAGACACTATAACGTTACATATCTGCAGTTTACTCAGTTTAAACCACCATTTAAATAGTTCAGGTATATTTTAAATGCAACTTTTTTTTTTTAAAACGTCCATGTTTAAGCAAAATGTGGTAACTTAGTTAGACTGTCACAGCCAGGCATGAATTATTTAAACGCTGCTTACTTATTAGTTGCTTGGTTTCCTGCTGGACAAAAGTCTTGACATTTGCAGTTTGACCCAGTGTGAATGTGACAGGAATCCAGGAGGGAGTTGGCTTTGCTCTCGACTCTGTTTTTGATCCAGTTAAAACTCCAGCTGTCAAGACATTCCAATAAACTTTTCTCATACATTATTAAAACGACAATGTTTTTACTGTGCCGTTCAAAACGCAGAAAAGCAACCCATTAAGGACGATGCTGACCATTTTTGGACACGACAAGCTATCACGAATTATCCGGGACTCCGGTGACAGGCATATCTAGATGAGTTTTATTTTATGAACTCGAGGCTGCCTGGAAGCTTTTCGGTCGTTTTATAACACGTATTCTCGTGGATATATCGACATACAACATGGGCGACTCTAATTTGAACAACTCCAATGTGAAGGTGGCGGTTCGTGTCCGGCCCATGAACCGGAGAGGTGAGTTGATCTATCTATCTATCTATCTATCTATCTATCTATCTATCTATCTATCTATCTATCTATCTATCTATCTATCTATCTATCTATCTATCTATCTATCTATCTATCTATCTATCTATCTATCTATCTATCTATGACGTATAATGTAGCTTACATTAACATTTAACATAAGAATATTCGTTTTTTGCCATTTTAATCAAATTCTTTCTTGTGAAAAAGTGTATTTTTAAAAGTACAAAATATACATGTAATTACATATTAGATGACAATTATATAATAATTGTTTGAAATTATAACATGCCATACTGCTTGAAGTTATAATGTCTACTACCAGTCTGTAAATATGATATAACTTTCTGTCTCTCTCTCTCATCCATCTTTTTATCTGAGGACATCCAATTAGTTATACATGTTTGCTTTTTTTCCTTTCACTTTTTCTTCTTAAAGATTATTTGCATGATTACTTGCATGCATGTTTCTCACATGAACGGCTGACATTAAAGCAGATCTTGCCGTGGGAGAACGTGTGTCTTGGTAAATCCATCGACGCGTGAAATATTAGCTACATTGTAGGGATGTGGTCACGTGTCCCACTGGAGCGTAACATTAAGTCACAAGACTCGAGCACTGATCATCGGCTGACAGCCTGTGTGAGCTTTCCGACTCATAAATATCCTTTTGAATTCCCAGTCTTCGTTTGTATTGTTGGAACTGTTAAAGTACCCTCATTACTGTAATATTACAAATTCAAAGATTCTTCAGACTGTATTTCTGTCCTGTGTCATATGACACACACCGTAGACCTTGTATTTGAAAGACTTAACTTTCTGTTTTACTTGCACTCTCTCTGTCTTTCTCTCTCTATTTTGGACAAAGGCAGGAAGGGAGTTTGAATGGACTATTTGCCAACGTTGCATAACCGAGCAGGTTCCCATGGCCAAATGAGTTTGGGTCCTTCTACAAAATGTTCATATTCAGTCCTAAGACCGTAAAGAGAACTTCACAAAACATTTTAGGTGGATAAAGTGATTTGGAGGTTAATGTTTTACCATTTCCACACATTAGTTGAGTCCACCTCACCCTTCTTGCATGTCATGAAGAATACAGTTTCATGTTACTAACTGAACTATGCATTGTTAATAGTTTTACTTCCATAAACTGAAGCAAATAATTATGGAAATGTGCTTCGGGGCATTGTCACTGCTTCTGTTTACTGTAGTAGATGATAATTTGCTTGGTCTTTGTGTTATTGTGTTCAGGATTTTGTCAGTCTTTCCAGTTCGTGGCTGTTGCCAAAATAACATGTGCTTATCTCTGTTACCTGAGTGACATAATGCAGGAAATTCAGATTTTTGGAATGGGTAGTGGGTACTACTGTAAGATGTGGTAAATGATGGGGGATCCTTATTGGACATTGGCCACCAATGCTGGGAGGAAACCAGTTGTTTCCTGCTTTAACAGGAAGTTGTTACAGCTAGTGTGGCTTTGGAGTGCATCCTCTCCAAGGATTTCTGAGTCAGCTGCAGATGCTTTCCACTTCCTTGTTGTTGTCAGCAGGAGAGTTTGGTTTCAGACATGCTTTGGCCTGCTGTTGTATTGGGTGTGTTGCTATTAGGCCGTGCCTTGTGTTTGTCATTAGTCTGTGCATCATAAACTTTCAGCTGACTGTACTGTACTATGAAACTTTATTTGGTGTCAGAAAGCATTTTTACCTACAGTCTGCTGCTGAGAAAGTGTTGCATGTTCTTCCTGTTGTGCCTCAGGCCAAGCTGAAAGTGAGACCTGAGCTAATCCCAGGGCTCAACATTAAGGGTGCCCGATGGCACATGGCCAGTGTGAGGAGAGTTTCTTGCCAGTTCATGGAAGTGTCATTTGAGCTGAACAGCTAATGCTGTGTTTTTACTACATCTTTTGGTCATGTTTAATGTGTTTTCTTTTGATCTTTAATGTTTTGATTTCCATCTTTAATATTCATGCTATTTTTGTCATTCTATTTATTATTATTATTATTATTACTTATTTACATATGTAAATATTGTATATTTATTTTTTTAAATAATTGTTTGCCAACTACTCAACTTAGTCAATTTTTTCATAAATTAAATCAAATTATTCCATTCTTTCAAATGGAATTATGTGATGCAACCATTGACAAAATAGCCTAGTATGCCATATTTTCTGGTCACCTGGTTCGTGCTGCAAAAATAAGCATGGTGGTCATACATTATCCCACTTAATACATGGCTACTTTATAAATGAACTAATAATAAGTTGACATGAAATATTAATTTGAATTATAGCTTGTGGAGAACTGTGGAGCCTGAGATATGAAACTAGAATGCAGATTCAAAGTCAGAATCAGTATTCAGATGAATTGTAATAGTTAAATTTTGTGTCTGTACCTGCTGTCATACTTTATCTAAGTAGAGTATCCCTCCAGGGATCAGTAGACTTATTGACTATCTTATGGTTTACTGTTATAATTATACTCCAGAAATATATCATTTGGCTTCATAGTAGTTTGATTTTGTATATCTTGCTGATGAAAATGGGTCAATGTTGATGAGTTTATTGCACTTTCACAGTGAAGTAATTTCAGTTTAGGATAAATCCAGATTTGGAACTGGTTGGTTCAAGCTGGGAAAAAAAAAAAGAAAAAAACATTTATAAAATGCTATTAATAAGATTCCTCCATGGCATCTAGCATGTGTAGTATCACTTCAGTTTCACAGATTTTTGCTAATGTAGTTAATAGCCTGTCAAGGGAGATTATAATTTGATTGTCCTTAAAATGGCCTTTAATATCTGAGGGCATGAGTCTGTAAAACTTGAATGCCCTGAACTCTTTCCATAGCTGTGAGAATAGTGATGGGTGATATAAGGAAAACTCTCTGTATCAGAATGCTGGTCTGAATTCAGTCCTCAAGTTGTGAATCCCCTGATATTGATTTCAACCCTTTGTTCTGTACAATCAGGATGGCTGGGAACTCAGTAGGTCATAAGATTGTCTTGTTAGTCTTATCCAAGGACAGACATAGGACCAACGTGTTTAGAGTGATGCTAGCTTTGGATCCTTTTTAATATTCCAACAACCTGAATCTTTTGAGATGATAAAGCACAACAGGCATTTAAAAATTTGTTTGCTTCATAGGTGTTTTTTTATCCCAACAGAAAAGGATCTGAACACAAAATGTGTTGTGGAAATGGAGGCGAATCAAACATTTCTGTACCCGGCAAACCTGGGAAAAGATTCCAGGTAAGTTAAATTTGAAAGTCTGACATGCACTACTAGTTATATAGCCCATTCCACACTCATAAAACTTCCTGCAAAGCACCAGCAAAAGTAACGAAAAAAGTTTTGAATCAGTGTCAGCTGCAAAGATGAACAACGCTGATTCGCTATCTTTGCAGTGCAGTGGACACACCTTTAGAGAAAATGCACCTATCTTATGGATTACATTAACAGAGAGTATTAGTTTTTTTTTATTATTCTTATGTCGGTGAGGCCAGTAGCAAACTGGGAGTTTGGTTCATTTTTGTGCTGCACTCCATTTTACAAAAGTACAAGGTTTTTTTTTTTTTTTTTTTAAGTGTACACCATTGAAAGTAGACCACTAGACCATTTATAGTTTCTTATTTGTATGACCAAAAATGAGTAAAATGGCAGCGCCTCCATGTCAGTAAGCGTGCTAATACTTTAGCTTCAACACTCTCCACAAACACTTGGATATACACCTTTGGGGAACACTTTTAAAGATAAAGTGAGCGGCCATGTAAAACGGTTACTACTTGCATCTTTTAAATAAGCCATATTTGAGGTCAATGAATGATAGGTGAACGTTTGGATTTCCTGCACGACATTACAAGGACCATCTGGTAATGGTCTGCCACCACATCTGTGGATTTCTCTGCTTCGTGTGGATTTTTTTTTTCTGTGACTGACCAAGTTAAAATTTTACATTTGAATGTTTCTAACTATTAGGGGGCACCCCTTGATGATGATGGTGATAATAATAATAAATGTTTATTGATCACCACATCAGCATATTAGAATATTTTCTGGAGGATCATGTGACACTGAAGAATTGAATAATGATGCTGGAATTTTAAAATAGAAAAGTTATTTTTTTCTATTTCACTATTTTAAAGCTTCCTAATTTCGTTTTGGCGGTCTTCTACAATACATTTTCATGCATCCAAGGTCAAACACTTTTGACCTTTATTACCAGATTCAGTAACATCAACCTCTCCTTTCTGTGTTGAGAGCCCCTTCCTGCTCTGATTGGTCTACCACTTACAGTGCGTGTCATAAATGAAACTCCTATGACCATATCTGAATTTCATCTCCAGAGACTTCCTCAGTACTTGATGATGAGTGATACTTGAGTGATATGAACAGATGAAACATGGAATCACAGCACTGAAAACTGTGTTTTCTTGACATATCAACAACACAAACCAAACTCTTTCTGTCTCAGTTACAACTACAGTGCTTGAGGGTAGAAAAGTTCAAATAAGTTGTTTGCGGGCAGCTATTAAAAACTGCAGGCTAGCATTATGCAAATTTGTTGTATTTATGTAACAGGTAGTGAGACTGGAATTACGGAGGACTCGTTTCAGCAGTTCAGAATGAATTATTTATTTCAGGAGACAATAACTTTATTTGTCGTGCACTTTGATCTTTAAAACTTTGCAGACCTTTTGCATTCATAAACCGCTATATTACACAAGCATAATAGGGGCTCTTTAAATTGCTATATTTCTGTAATACAGTATTACTGCTTTTACTGTATTTTTGAACAAAGAAATACAGCCTTGGTGAATCACACTCAGACTCAGACCGCAGCGAGCTTGCCCAGTGTGAAAACACCCTAAGAGACTTTTTTCAAACAAATTTAGAAATCTTGCAGACTACAATAGTATATTTTCTGACATAGCTTTGTTCGGAATAGCGTAAAAATTGGAGCATTTGAGTAATTAAACAACTGTTTTAGTTCTATAGGTCTATATGTAAATATAGCATATACTGTTTACAAGGTTGTGAATTCATAATCGTTTAGATTATTTTAATTGGATATTACATATTTGGGACCCTTGATAGCTGAGAGCAAGGTCTTTGAGATCAGATTGAATGTATTCTTGTTGGTTTTCAGTCGGTCGGCTCGTACGATGGGGGCTGAGGGAGAACAGGAATGTGGACGTGCGGTTCTCTTTAACGCAGCCTGCTGTTCGCTCCGTCCTGCCGTGTGTCGGGGCATAACTCTCTCCATCTGACTTCCTCTCTTTTTCTCTGCCCTCCGTTGTCACGGAAACGCTGAAGGAGGGTTAACCCTGGGTCATCCATAGCTGAGGTGCTCTTGTGTCTGGAAAAAGGGGAAAATACAAGCTAGCTTTAGCATCTGTCAGCCATAAACATTTCCTTTGACTTTTATGGCGGGTACACAAGAGAGCACAATTATTTATTTTTTTTTGCTGCTTTTCTCTTGTCGTGAAGTGCAAACAAAGACAGAGGTTGAACAGGTTTTAAACTTGGAAGTGAATGGTCGAGCCGCCTGCTGCCTTCGAACAACAGACAGTTTAATTGCAGCGCTGAGTTCATGTGTCGTGCCGCGCTGAATCGTCGGCCCTGATAATGGCCCCTGCGATGCAGATGCCTCAAATGGCAAGGTTCACATGACCAAAATAGCTTTACTTATGCAGATTATTGCTGGCATTTCATATTAATTATGATCTGTTAGGCACTACAACACATTCCAGACAATCTTTTGATGAAGGCTACACATGGCATGTTTTTATGTCAGTGTATACTCCTCTTTCAATCCTTTGTGTGGTCGTACCGCTCTCAGCATGTCCGATGGCATCACATACTTGGGATGAATGAATCTTAGTGCCTGTCCATTTGCTTTAATGAAATGACATTTGAAAGGTTTTATGTTTGCAAGCAGCTCCTAGGGTTATTTTGGATGGAATGAACATGAGCAATGATCTTTACCAGAAGCGTTATGCCTGACAAATCAATGTATGACTATCTTTATGAATTATGATAGAAAAAAATCTCTTTCAGGTAGTGTAATATTTATAGAGACCAATAATTGCTTGTCACTCCCTACTATTTTAGTATTATTAAGAGTATTATTTACAATTTTTTTTTTATCTCTGTTATCACAGATTATGTTCTTTTGTTAAGTTAAGGAGTTGCTAGCACATCAAGACTATGACCATCCCATCTGAACTGCAGACAGGGCGTGTTTTGGTCTTGCAGGAAAGCAGTGAGACATACACTAGTCAGAATTAGTTCAGGTGTGTTGAGGATAGGGCTGGGCTGTATGGAAAGAAATATAATCACCATATTTTTTCTCCATACTGATTGATATTAAGGTCCGTTCACACCAAGGACTGTTACGATAAAGATAACGATAAAGATATATTTCTAATATTCTTTGTCAATATTAAAGAATAGCAGAGTTTACACCACAGCTATAATGATATAGAGAAACTAGCCAATCAGAATCCATTCTAATTGGGGCTTGCACATTTAAAATGGCAGACGACGTAATCGCCGAGGTGCAGAAAAATTCACCACGGTTTGACATGTCAAGCCTCATTTAAGAAAATGGATATGCAAAATAATCGTTCATTTTAAGATTTTTTAGATTTAGTCTGAGAGTTTTCTGTCCCTCCATTGAAAATGTATGTACGCTATACTGTCCTTGTCCAGAAAGGAAATACAGACATCATCAAAGTAGTCCATGTGACATTAGTGTGTTAGAATGTATTGAAGCATCGAAAATACATTTTCAAAGGGATGGACATGGTCAGAAACTATGCTCAGGTAGGCCGTGGCATTTAAACGATGCCCAATTGGCACTAAGGGGCCTAGAGTACGTCAAGAAAACATCCCCCGCACCATTACACCATCACCACCAGCCTGCACAGTGGTAACAAGGCATGATGGATCCATGATCTCATTCTGTTTACGGCAAATCTGACTATCATCTGAACGTCTCAACAGAAAATTTCTGTCAGAAATCGAGACTCATCAGACCAGGCAACATTTTTCCAGTCTTCAACTGTCCAATTTTGGTGAGCATTTTGCCCACAGGACTGGCGTTTTTCCTTTTTTAACACCAATCTTTGTAAACCTTAGAAATGGTTGAACGTGAAAAACCCAGTAACTGAGCAGATTGTGTAATACTCAGACCGGCCCGTCTGGCACCAACAACCATGTCACGCTTAAAATTGCTTAAATCACCTTTCTTTCCTATTCTGACATTCAGTTTGGAGTTCAGGAGATTGTCTTGACCAGGACCACACCCCTAAATGCATTGAAGCAACTGCCATGTGATTGGTTGATTAGATAATTGCATTAATGAGAAATTGAACAGGTGTTCCTAATACTTCTTTAGGTGAGTGTATAGACCTTATGTAGCCCCGCCCCTTTTCAGCGTTGCGCTGTAACGGCAGAGCCATCGCCAACGACTGATGACGTATCGGGTTCATGAAGGGTTGTTCCATTTCGTAGGGGAATATTTCAACCCCTTGGCCCTTGTAACTCTGTTTTAAGGGCCAAGGGGTACACTCGAAAACAAGGGGTAGGGCCAAGGGGTGAATTGGGATTCAGCCTTACAATTAGTGTTGGTGAGGGAGGTGGAGGAGGAGCATATTCTCTCACCATGCAGTCAACAAAATGGGAAGGAGGTCTTCTCCTTCTTAAGGTCCTTTCACACTGAACGCGATTTTGACGCACGAATAATTCGCGCGATGGTTTGATTTTTTTTTTTTGATCAGCTGTTTGTATAATGAGTGCTTCCACACTGAACGTGAATGTGCTGCGGCGAAAAAACTGACTTTTATCTTTTCCGCTTCGATGTCGATTTTATTTTTTTAGGCGAAAGAAAAGGCTTCAGCCAATCATATACAAGGAAACAAAGGTGACGTGACCGCAGCAATGACGGAGCTTCTGATTGCTTGTGTGTCAAGTTGTCTGTGAATGAATATCTGAAACAAGGACTAGTGGGACGTTGTGCTCGTTCGTTCGTATCGAGCCCATCCGGGTGTTTACAAGGCTTTTCAGTCCATTTGAGCCTTCAATCCGTTTACTAAAAGTGTTTATTTGATTGCATGTAAACGTAGCCCCTGATGAATGGGACAGCTCACCTTCTGCCATATGTTTCTAGCTCCGGTACCTAGCTCTGTGGGTGCCCAAAACCTTCTTTTCTGCTTTTAAATAAAATGAAAAGCTCTTCACTGGATGGT